CTCGCGTGGCTGCTGCCTCCCACCTTTGCCGGGCAGGGGGAGCTGTTTGGAGACCCCTTGGTTTCCCACCCCACCCTGTCCCTTCCAGGGAGCACTGTTGGGTGGGTAAGGGGGTGCCAGGGAGGGGGGTTTGCCTGGTTGAGTCCTGGGGCACCCCGGCAGCGCCAGCCCCTCTCCTGGGCAGGAGGGTGGGTGCGGTGGGGGGGGGAAAGTGCGGCGCCCGTTTTTTTTTCCGTGTCCCGCCCCCCCCCCTCGTCCCAGAGCAGGAAGGAACTGGCCAGCGCGCACCCTCCCTGCCAACAAAAGCAGCTTTTTGGGAGGCAGCCCTGGCCCCCGGCCAGCCTGGGCTCGGCCCCTCCCCACCGGGCTGGCACGGGGTGCTGGCACCCCTGGGACGGTGGGGTGGCCCTTCCCTCGACCCTCTGGCGCCTCGTGTCCCTGCCTCGAGCATCCCTGGTGCTGGATGCTGGGCTGGGGGCTCCTGGGGGGCAGGGGATGAGCCAGGCAGCCCCAGGGCCCTGGCAGTGCTGGTTTTGGGGTGTGGCACACCCCAACACCCCCTTGCACCCAGCCCAGGGTGCTGGCGCGGGGAGGAGAGACGTGTCCTGGGCCTGGGGCGGTCGTAGCCTCAGCCCCGCTCGTCCCTGCGGCCGAATTCAGACTCTGTCTCAGCACGTGGAGCAGCTGAGCCCTGTCTGGCTCGTTCCGCTTGTGGATGGGGCTGGTCTGCGCCCCTAAACCAGCGTCTCCAGCCCCATGCCTGGGGCTGATCCTGTCCTGGCTCCGCCGGGCCAGCTCATCTCCCGAGGGACAGTGTGACATGCGGTGCCTGCGCCGGTGCGAGGTCTGCAGCACGGACAGGGCACGCGGCATCAGATGCCGTTCGGCTGTGCCGAGCCCCGGGGAGCCTCGTGCCTCAGTCTCCCCTTATCCCTCGCAGAGCTGCCGCCCTCCGAGTTCATGCAGGTAGCAGATTCAACATGGCTGGTGCTCAGCGTCGTCTCCAATGGCCGGGCGCCCTCCGGCTGCCAGGCCACCGGTGTCACCAAGATCGCCAGGTCGGTCATCGCGCCGCTGGCCGAGCACCACGTCTCGGTGCTGATGCTCTCTACGTACCAGACCGACTTCATCCTGGTGAGCGCCGGGCGGTGATGGGGACGGTGGTGCCTGGTCCCACCGGGGTGTTGGCTCCGGCGGAGCTGGGTGAGGACCCCGCTGTCCCCAGCCGGCGGGGATGGGCTGCGGGGAGGGGTGGCGGTGCTGACCCTGATCCTGCACCCCTGGCCAGGTGCGGGAGCGGGACCTGCCGGTGGTGATCCACACGCTGGCGGGGGAGTTTGACATCTACAAGGAGGAGAGCGGCGAGTGCGTCCCCGTCACCTGCGATGACGTGAGCAACGGCTTCCTCAAGCCCAAGCCGGGTGAGTGACGCCAAGTCCCATGTCCCCCAGGACCACCCGGTCCCCCGCCGGGATGCTCCAGCTCCCACCGGTGGTACCTCTGCGCCCTGAGGGATGCCGAGCTGTGGCTGCGGTGGCCACGGGGTGGCACTGCGGTACTGTCCCCAAGCTGTCCCCACGCCTGACGGGTGGCTGTCCCCACGCCTGATGGGTGGCTCTCCCCCTGCCAGCCGCAAGCCCCACGCTGCACCCCGTGCAGAGCCCCCAGACCCGCTTCTGCGTCCTGACCGTGGCCCCCGACACGCTGCCCGCCATCGCCACCATGCTCATTGACGTCCTCTTCTACTCCCACAGGTGGGTCCCAGGGGCGGGGACACGGCTGTGGCCCCTCACCCAGTGCCACCTGAACCACGGTGACATGTGTCCCCCCGTGCTCCCAGTAGCTTTTCAAGCTCTGGGTGTGTTTTGCAAACTGGTTTTGCCCTCCCGAGCGTGCCGGGAGGCTGCAGCCACGTGGTTGCCACGGGTCCTGCTGCCACCATGGGACATGGGAGCCCCAGGGTGACCCGGGGGACGAGCCCCCCATTGCAGCAAAGCCCGGGGAGGAGGGATTGCAAAACAGGAGAGGGCGGGTTACAAAAGGCCGGTAGGAACGGCGCTGAGGTGCGGGAATGCTCCTGTCCAGGACATCCCATGTCCCCCAGGATGAGGTCCCTTCTGGTGGGACCCTCCTGCTCCAAAGGCACCATGGTGCTTTGGGAGTGCCCTGAAACCTGGTGTCACCCCTGTCCTGTGTGTGGCCGACATCCGCTGCCCCCCCGACCCGGTGGCTGTACGAGCTGCAGACCTGTGGGTAGCACCCGCTCCCGTCCCCGCCTCTCCTCCCCACCCACCGGCTCACCCTGCGGCATCCCAACATGGTGCTCGAAGACATTCAGTGCCACCACCAACCCCTTCTCCTCCCAATTTCGGGGGTCATGACCCCTCTCTGTGGCTCTCTTCCCCCTCCCCTCCCCGCTCCGCAGCCCCCCGAGGGAGGCTGGCGCCGGCAGCCAGGACCTCGACTCCATTACATTCTTCGCCTTCTCCCTCATCGAGGGCTACATCTCCATCGTGATGGACGCCGAAACCCAGAAGCGGTAGGCGCCGTCCCTGGGACTTGTCCATCCATCTGTCCATCCCCGGGGCGGGGGGGCTCTGGGAGGAGGCGGGGGTTACACTCAGGCCTTCCCCTCTCTCAGGTTCCCCAGCGACCTGCTGCTGACCAGCTCAACGGGGGAGCTGTGGCGGATGGTGCGGATCGGCGGGCAGCCCCTGGGCTTCGG